AGACTGGAACTATCAGTCACTTATTTTTAAAAAGTTTATTTTTTCTTCATAGCTGTGAAGAGGGAAACTAAGGAAAATTCTTTCTGCTATCTTTCCCTTTGGTAATGCTTATCTTACGAACACTCAACTGAAAAAACACTCAAAAGTAGCAAAGATGGCAATTCTAAATAGCATTTTAGAATTCTATTATTCCAGGGAGGTAAACTATTTTTGTTGTTGGTTTGGGGCTGTGCTGCAGGTATTAATAGTAAAAAACAAAAACCTAAGCAAATCTGCCACTTCTGCGAAGTGCCTTCTAAAATGCAAATAGAAAGTGAACTCTCTCCTGATGCCTGGATCTGCCTCCTTCCTTTCCATTTTTAAGCCTCTTTGCAGGAGCTACTCCTGAGGTATGGAAATGGCCTTTGGGACTGAAGGACTTTTCCAACTGAAGCAGCAGCAGATGTAGCTAAAGTGCACAGCTGGGGCTGTGCAGAGCTGGGCTCAGGACAAGAGAGGAGAGACTTGGAGCCAGAGAGACCTAGTCACATCCTAGCACAGGCCTGCCTTCCTCAGCTATAAGATGAAATAAGAAAACTCCTTTCATTAAGGAAGCTTTTGTAAAGTGCCTGGTACTTAGTAAGTGCTCAAGAAATACTACATTTCAGATTCATTGAGTTAATAGCTTTTGATGGAGCATACCTTTTTTTTTTTTTTTTTTTTATAAAGTCTAGCTCTATCTGTTGCCTAGGCTGGAGTGCAGTGGTGCAATCTTGGCTAAGTGGAACCTGTCTCCCAGGTTCAAGCCATTCTCCTGCCTCAGCCTCCCCAGTAGCTGGGATTACAGGTGTGCACCACCATGCCCAGTTAATTTTTGTATTTTCAGTAGAGACGGGTTCTCACCATGTTGGCCAGTCTTGAATTCCTGACCTCAAATGATCCGCCCGCCTTGGCCTCCCAAAGTGTTGGGATTACTAGGCATGAGCCACCGAGTCCAGCCTTGAGGTAGCATACTTTTTAAAATAAAGTAGATTATGTCCCAAGTAGTTGACTTAACTGCCTTGGACTGACATTTCTGTTTGGTGGTCTAAGATGTTCTCTTCAACCTTTGCAAAAAACATAAGCTTTTTTTGGAGTTTAAATTGAGCCTTCCCTCTGGTGTGTGTGGTTTGTTTTTTTCTTTTAAGGATCAAAAACTTAAAAAATTTTAAACCTGTCAAGTGTAAATTGAGAAAGCACTTTGGTCTTAATTGGTGACTTGGGGATTATTTGATATAAATATAGGCTGTTTTCCTAAAAGTTATTGCCAGTATCCTCCAAATAATTGCCCCTTCTAAAGGTGATGGCCTGTAAGCAGAACCACACATTGGAAGTGCCTCCCAGTGGGCGTTAGGAGATGTACGTGGAGCCTAGGACTTAGCCTGTGATAGCCAACCAGAAAGTGTCCCCTTCTAACCCAGAAAAGCCACGTGCTTTGCTGGATGGTGTTTGAATTCTGAACTTTGCACCTACATATGTAGTAAAAGCAGACACTTGTCACTTTAATTTTAAGATATCTCAGAAGTTTCTGCTAGATTTCAGTGTGTCACTTGTGCTAGGAGTCTTTAAGAAGCTTTAAAAAATAAATGCACACCTGTAGCCTTTTAGGATTCATACAGGTAGATTATATTTACCTGTCACGAGGGACAGGTAAATGGTTGACAGTTTCAGGTTTGATTAAACCCACTATATCGCACAAATTTTGCTGGAAATAGTTTCCTGCCCTGCCAAGAGTTCTATGGTAGTTTGATAATAAACTACCCCAGTATTCTTAGGACCTGTGTTAGTTACTAAGTCTTTTCTGCCTGATTTGTGCTTTATTTCCATAGACCCCTCAGATATGTGAGGAATAAAGCCATAAATGTGCATTTGCTGGACATTATATACCATGTCATCTCTATGACTACAGATTTCAAGGTTAATATTTACTCACATCTAACAATTTCACTGTAACAGTGACCGATAATGTGAAAAATGTGCTTTATACAGTGCTGCTGGTGGGTAGACAAGTGCTTGCTGCAGTTGTTTCTGAATCTAGCCAGATCCTAGAGTCATCAGGCTGTAAGCTCCGCGGGAGCAGGGACCATCTTTCTCTTGCACCATAAGCACTCAATAAATACTCGTGGCTGTGAACTGGCGTGTGACCTTCGTGTGTTTATTCCCGCTGGCTGGCTGCGGGAGCAGGTTGGTTGTGATGTGAAGTCCCAGGCATAGAGAAGTCCTCGAGTTACGGATTAAGGGGTGTCTAGCCAGGAGCACAGTTCCCTCTGGGGCTCTGTGGGCTCCGCAGATCTTTCTGGATGGATCCTAGGGCACCTCTTAGTGGAGCGAAAGAGTTGAGGGGTTCTAGATGACGATGGGACGCCTTGGCCCGCCTCGGCGGGGTCATGGTCACGGACATCTGGAGGCGAGTCGGGAACGGTGGCTTTCCTGGCTCGTGCCGCTGGGTTCTGCCATGACCCCAGGAGGTGAGCAGCCGCCAGGGGCTCGGCCGCCCGGCTCCATCTGGGAGCATCTCGGCCGCCTTAATTTTAGCTTGTCCTCGCCCCTCCTGGGGAGCACCGCAGTCTCCTCAGCCTTATAAGGTGATAGTAGGGATGGGTCTCCCATCACTAAGTTTTAGGTGTGCCCTGTTTAGTTCCATGACTTCAGATTTTGCCAAACAAG